GAGCATCGATCTGCGTAATTGGGAACCGATGACATGTGTCAACCAAGTCAGCAAGCCTGACCTACCGATCCCGTAAGTCGCCTCTTAAGACAAGCATAGTCGCCTTTTGTGGCAAGCATGGGTTGCAGAAGACCTGTTCTACCCTGGATCTTCATGGGTCTTATTTACAACAAAAGGGAGATAATCAACAATATTATTTCAAAAGAAATAAACGGCTACTTCAAATAAGTAAGTGATATCAAAGTCATTCATATCCTCCTTCCCTAAAAGTGCTCCAACACACAAACATGCACTTACACATGCACACACACACGCACGCGCACCTCTGATTTGGCCACAGAATAACATATAAAAGCTGTATCGATATTCAATTACATGAATAAAATATGAAAATAATTTAATTTGAAATTAATTATCACAATCCTCAGCACAAATCGTTAACAAATACTACTCAATTATCAACTTCCTCTACCATCATACCCTTAGGAATTAATATCTTATGCCAAGAGCTACACCCAAGGAGAAATTACATAAATCACACCACCCTCATCAATCCTCATTAAATCACTACCCGCTATTATAACAAAAACGATACACATCATGCAGACTCAGCCCATCAAACACTATCTTACCTCACGTTATGTTATATTAAGAAATACAGCACACAAACACGAGCCTCGCCAACAGAACGGCAGCGATAGCAGAGATAACATAGCATGGGATAAACGCTGGAGCACACACGGTGATGTTAACACCCTGATTGAACTTCGGGGAGATTTATGATGTAAGATAATGAGGTGCTGGAGTGTTACCCTCAAACTGAACCCATGGTTGTCCAAGGAACACGTCAATAATCTACAGAGCTTATTATAAAGGCCATACAAATTTGAACATGTTCCATAGTCTGTCTCACAGTCCCTGAACCACATTATTTTGCTTACTGCCAGCCTTCCCTGTGAGGCTAAAGCCCTAAATGAGTGAGTGAGTTTTAGTTTTACGCCGCTTTTAACAATATTCCAGCAATATTAGCGGAGGACACCAGAAATGGGCTTCACACATTGTACCCATGTGGGGAATTGAACCCGGGTCTTCAGCGTGAAAAGCGAACGCTTTAACCACTTAAAGGCTACCCCACTGCCCCAAAAAACGCTAAGTGAAGCAAGTCTACATTTTCCCAGGTTCATCTCCCATCTGACTGCGGCTCATTTTCAATTTTTGTTTTTGTAAATGGGTTTATGCGTTACAGTCAACATTATATATATTTAGAGACTAAGCATTAGTCTACCCATTTCAACGCAAGTTCTGCAAAACATTTTGAATGTAACAGTTCAATGCTGTTTTAAACTGAAACGATTCTTACTGAAAAAAGTTTCTTAGTGAAAAAAGTTTAATTTGTTTGTATTTTGCTATATTCTTTATATTTGTAAATCAACATGAACACTTTAACAAAACTCATTATATAAATAAATTCATTTTGATGACTGCAAACTGAAATAATTATTCATAAGCATTTACAAAATAAGCATATTATGTGTTTTTTAAGAAAATATTTGATGATGTTTAGGTGAATCAGCAATTCAGCTATTAAAAAAATGGCCTGGACATTGAACCCAAGCGTTGTTGACAGAGCTATGATTCATGACATCAATCCATTTATATGTCAATATGTACTGTATAGGGTCATGTAAGTATAATGATCACAGTAAACGCTGCCATCTACAGTCTTTAACACAACACACTTTACCATCGACACTTTAAGTCTTTGGACTTTACTGTTTACATGAGACTGACTTACAGGAGTGAGCAGGATTTACAAGAGTGAGTGAGTGAGTGGTTACACCATGTACAGCATTAATCTAACAATATCATGTGTGTCACGTAGTTGTGGCTGGAGGCCAGAGTGAGTGAGTGCGTGAGTGAGTGAGTGAGTGAGTGAGTGAGTGAGTGAGTGAGTGAGTGAGTGAGAGTGAGTGAGTGAGTGAGTGAGTGAGTGAGTGAGTGAGCGGGTTTAGTTTTATGCCGCACTCAGCAATATTCCAGCTATAGAGTGGTGGTCTAAATAATCAAATCTGGACCAGACAATCCACAGATAAACATCATGAGCATCGATTTACGCAATTGGGAATCGATGATGCGTCTATGAAGTCAGCAAGCCTGGCCACCCAATCCCATTAGACGGCATGACAAGCATGGGTTACTGAAGGCACATTCTAACCCGGATCTTCACGGGTATAGAAGGTGCAGAAGATTACCACACAGATAAATATAGCGCTAACAAAGTTGGCAGTGCAGCTTTGGATCCTTCAGGCAAGAAACCCATGATGGTGGTATAAATCCTGGTTCAACCTATTTGTGTTTTTACTAGGGCTGCAATGATTTGGTTCAATTCATCGAAAATCGAATCTCACACCTTAGTTACGATTTTCAATAACCATTATCAGTGTTTCAATTCAATATTTGAATACCTATTTAAATTATTTCCACACAGCAAGAACGTAATTTTGACTCCAACTCGAGCAGTTTCGAACGCTGAAATAAGGCGAAACTTCATTGGTTGACGCCGGACTAATGATAAAATGACATTTGTTGTTAGTAGACATCGCCAAGTTGACGATGGATTTCATGATATAAAAGCCGACTCTGAAAGCTAAATTAAATCTGATGTTTTTATTTGTATGAAGAAATAAAACGAAAATGATCGAATCGAGGGTCCAATATCGACAATCGAATCGAATCGAGGTCTTGGTGAATCGTTGCATCCCTAGTTTTTATATTCATAAGCACCATATTCATATCCGTGAGTTTCATCAAGGTGGTAAACATCAAAGACAGCAGTCAATGTGGGCAATCATATTCAACCTCATGACCAGCGGATCCTTACTATTGCCAAGGGTGATTTTTCTTGTCAGTTGCCAAACTCAAGAGCCACTCAGGCATAATAATTTAAGAAATTAGATCTGTATCAATCCACTTTGAGGATATGATGTGCATCAGGATAGTAGAACTAGACTCCAAAATGATGCATTAAACCTTGAAACATTCAAAGATACGTGATTCCATCAACAAATGGAATAAGTAACATCCCTAATGAAACATTTTTTGTAGATCTGTTGTGCTGATTAGTGACCCCCAAATAATACTGCAATATATTTGAAAACATAAATATGTATTGTGATATACTGGGAGATATTGTCATCTATTCAGAACAATGTGGCACCAAAACTACGAGTTTCCTCTCTAATTTGAACAGACATCAAATACATCATCGCCAGTCACCACCATTTTGTAGTCATGGATACAAGGCGTAACAGCAGAGTGAGAACACAATCTCCTCAATGTTTCTGCTGTCTTGTCAACAAATAGCGGAAAACCTCATTTGTGAACGAATTTCTATAGAAATTTCAGGTTAAACTATACATATAATCACAAAACAGATCACACTAAGTGAGGTGAGGTGAAATTGGGTTTAACGTCGCGCTGGAGAATATTTCTCTCATATGACAACGTGCATGCGCGTGTATGTGTATGTGCGGCTGCTTGTACTAGCCCAGACTGAAGATGGTTTTATCGTGCTAGCCCACTCAGATACCATGCCACAGTGAAGTATGAATACCCCACTCAGACACATTATACTGACTCCGAGCCGACCAGTCCTTGTTGTACCCATTAATGCCAAGCGCCAGGCAGGACCAACAAGTACCATATTTTAACTTCTTTTGGTATGACGCGGTCGGGGATCGAACCCGCGACCTTCCGCTTCCAGGCGGACGCTCTAACCACTACACCACGGGGGCGGTCTAAGTGTACCCACTACCAGAACAAAGAGAAGGTTATGCAACACATATTGTTTAAAAATGTATTGGACTATTCAATACCGGTAATACCCTACACACATCTTGGGCAGACAGGTAATCTTAATGTTTATAAAATTTATGTTCATATGATTAAGTATCTGATTCTGATACATACTTGTACCATTTTGTATCAATATGTGACCTCACAAATAATATTCCTATCATAAATGCCACAGAACATTGCTAACCAATAATTTTGATGACTTTCAAAACTTAACTAATTATAATATTGAAACATTGTTTAAGCAAGCATTTAAAATCAGCTGTTAAGTGTTTGGACTTAGAGCACCTTGTGAACGGCATGAACAGAGACGGATTAATCTGCACCTAAAAGCGTTCATGTTAAATACTACGCTACGACACATCCCTAAACACATAACGAAACAACCCTGTTACTAGACAAAAAATCTCCTTGACAACCTAAAATTGCTCCTGCAGCTTGTCCTAATGCTTGTCAAAGAAGAACGTCGTTGTCTGATATTGGAAATTAGTCTTAGACTCTATTCCACATCTTTCAGGACAAGAATTTGTTATTGGACCATTAGGACTTGCACTGGATGCAAAGTACAGACATTTTCTGAATTAATGTTCAGAATATTGCCCACCATTGAGTAAGAGTATTCGAAACAAAAACGAAAATAATTCAGAGTAAAATGCTTAAAATTTCCTTATACATTGATATGACATGGCAAGAAGTTCTTAAGTTGGCTGATTTTGTTTGTTTGTTTGTTTGTTTGTTTGTTGTTTAACACCACACTCAGCAATCCGGGTTAGAAATGGCCTTAACCAACCCATGCTTGTCGTAAGCGACTAACAGGATCGGGTGGTCAGGCTCGCTGACTTGGTTGACAAATGTCATTGTACCCCAATTGTGTAGATCAATCAGGGGTTCAAATTTTTTTTAAAAAGCCACTTGCCACAGGGCAAGTGACTTTAAGAAAGTAACTTGTCCTGACTAATTATCCACTTGCCCTGATTTTTATGACATAATTATGATGATATAATTATGAAAGAAGAAATCAACATGGTATTTGATGTTAATGTTTACTGGACTATTTATTAAAAAGTGATAAATAGCAAAGAAAGATAACTCTACTTTATTATCATTGCAAAATTTAATAGCTACGTTTTGAGCAGATATGAAATTAAATCAAAGTTTATTTGCAGTTTGAAACCATAAGTGGAAATTATCTAGTAGCTCACGGACAAGTAAGATACCATTATTTGATTGCCCGAAATGAAAACTGTCTTGTCCCGGGCATCGGGCGAATGGGATTTTTAACCCCTGTCAATGCTCATGATGCCGATCACAGGATTGTCTGGTCCTTATTTACTGACAGCCACCATATAGCTGGAATATTGTTGAGTGCAATCTTAAAGAACTAACCAACCAGGAACAAATCGCAAACCTTTGACAAATAATTCATTAGCAAGATCCCCTTATCTCTCGCAACCTCCTCAGAATTTGTACCAGCTTAAAATAGCTCTTTCCCCCTCTCAACAATTGCACAAATTATTTGATATTGTTTCAGAGGAAAGGTTGATTCTTTCTGATCTACTCTGCCAAATGAAGACTTGTTATGTGAAATGTTAAAGCTCATGACTAAGGCTCATTGATTCAGTCATCAATTTTATGAAGGTTCCATCGGTAGGTGTCCAGGAATTTCTTGTCAATATGCTGGAAGTAGAACCATTAAGTGGTAGAATCCCAGACAAGGGCATGTGATTGTAGACGATTCGTGGAGAATGATTCTTATCCTCTCATTTATTCAATGCCAATTGGGCCAATGTAACCTGCATGCTTTCTTCTCAAGGAACGGATTTAGAAAATTGGTCTTCAATGATAGGAATTAGCCACTAGATTAGTAGAACTTGGCACATTTAATGTATGACAGGGTTGGTTAATTTGGAAAGACTTCACTACATATAATGACAGCACTACATGGGTTCAAATTACAGATACTTAAGTCAAGGTAAATTAATAGCTTGTATCCCAGGAATCATGGGGTAAACGATGAACTGTCTTGAACAGTATTTCAGAATGAGCTGCATTTTACACTTGTTTGAATGATATTCAGTGTTTCACCAAGATGTGGGAGGAGGCAAGAAGTGGTACAGATCTTAGATATACAGTGAGCAGGTTTTACGTGATACACACAAATGTAGATAATTTCAAAATACTTCCCTGTGTCCAGAGGGGCACTCAATATTATTCACTGTACCTGCAACACATATATGACTTTGCTTTGTGTTTGGTTGTTTCTTTCAGAGCAGCTACTTGCATCATTTCATCCATCAGTCCACATGATCAGTGATATTCCAGGCTCTACAGAAATTATCAAAACGTACAGTTCTCCACACTGTTACTTCCCAGGACCCCCATAGTCTGACTGACTGATTGAGTTTTGGTTTTACGCCACTTTTAGCAATATTCCAGCAACATCACGGCGGGGGACACCAGAAATGGGCTTCACACATTGTACCCACGTGGGGATTCGAACCCGGGTCTTCCGCGTGACGAGCGGATGCTTTAACCATTAGGCTACCCCACCGCCCCGGACCCCCATAGTGCCTGCAAGGACCCTTAAAACTAATAATTAGGGACCCCATGTTTGTGAGTTGAGGTAACACCCTGACTGTGTCACCTAGATGTTGGAAGAGGCCAGAAGTTGTACAGGTCTTAGGTCTAGCATGACATGGCAGCATGACACCAGACAATGCAAGATGGCGACAACTGTTGGACCAACTACTGTGAGTATGGTGCTGACGAACCCGGAAATATAACCAGGATGAATTAAAAGTGAGTGAGTGAGTGAGTGAGTGTGTGGGTGTGTGAGTGAGTGAGTGTGTGTGTGTGTGGGTGTGTGGGTTTGTGAGTGAGTGAGTGTGTGGGTTTGTGAGTGAGTGAGTGTGTGGGTTTGTGAGTGAGTGAGTGAGTGGGTGAATGTGTGTGAGGGTGTGTGAGGGTGTGTGAGGGAGTGAGTGTGTGGGTTTGTGAGTGAGTGAGTGTGTCAGGGTGTGTGAGTGAGTGTGGGTTTGTGAGTGAGTGGGTGTGTGGATTTGTGGGTGTGTGGGTTTGTGGGCAAAAACGTGAGTTGGGTTTAACTTCCTTCGTTCATAGACAATATCCCAGAATTACAATTATTGATCATGAATACATTTGTGATATGCTTTTTAACTGAAGACCATTTCTAAATGTGTATGGAATGTTACAACATTTTATGATCTTTTTTGTTCAGAATATATGACAAAAAGAACAAGCACACATTGAGATCAACATGATTAACACTGAAATGTGCAACACAGTCCATTGCACAATCATTAATATCACCAAGCGAGTTTAAATATGTGATGATGTCAATACATGCCAATATGTACATTTATCACATACAGAAAGCCCAAGGCGACACATTACGCCCAAATAGTCTTAACATGATATTGCATGGAGCCTCATTTGCGACCGGTAGGTAACCGACCTTGTGTCAATTAATCCAGCCGATAGGAAGAGGCATATGTGCATCGCCTCGGGCATATTAATCCTTCACAGCCGCAGCGTCCATTAATTTCCAAATTTCGTCAATATCATGCTCATTTCGGACAACCAGCAAGATCGCAGCTAATTGGGGGTTATGTACCCCCGGGGGGAGACATATACTTACGGATTGTCTTTACGTGATGCCGAACTGATAGATCACACCACCAACACGATCAAAGGGCCAGTCACACAATTTTGATATTAACGACAAAGTCGTCAATTACAAATTTATAACCATGCCATAACAGGTTCTTTGATGTCATAATGAAGCAGTGTATATGATCAAGGAAAGTCCTGTGGTAGTCTTATGGACACAAATAGTACTTGATGACCGAAACTGATTACAATCATCCATAATATACAATGAATGAAACATAATATGATCTGATTACGAGATTCCTGGTCTAACAAGTGCATGAATGTATGGGTGTTTATTGCTCTCGGAAAGAAAATAACAACAATATCTGGAGATGTATGCAAACATGCCAAACTTGTCATACCATTGCAGCATTTTTTTATTTCTCTGAAACGTGCATCTAGCAGGGCAGGGACAGAAGATCAATAATCGGAAATATCATTGCTGGGAAGAATTATTAACGAAAATAGTGTCATTGATAATAGAGTACATAACATATTGTGATGAAATAAAGTTTCCATTAAAATACATCAACTATTCACTAATTAAAATCCTTATTTATGGGTTGTTTGATTGGCATTCTGAGTGAGTGAGTGAGTATGGTCAACTATTCACACTTAAAATCTTTGGGTTTTAATTGGCATTCTGAGTGAGTGAATATTCAACAACATCATGGTGGGGATATTCAAGCAACATCATGGTGGGGGACACCAGAAATGGGCTTCACATTATAATTGTGCCCATGTGGGGAATCGAACCCAGGTCTTCAGCGTGATGAGTAGCTCTAACCACTAAGCTACATGTATAACTGTGTCGTGTCGTAAGTGCTGACTAATATGATCGGGTTGTCAGGCTCGCTGACCTGGATGACACATGTTATCATATCCAAGTTGAGTAGATCGAAGCTACTGATCACTGGATTGTCTGGTCCAGACTCGATTATCTACAGACCACCACCATATAGATGGAATATTGCTGTGTGCAGCATAAAACAACAAACAAAACGGTTTGGTGTAACCCTAAACATCACTTGATCCTCCAACTGAGTGAGTAAGTGAGTGAGTTTAGTTTTACGTTGCACTCTGCAATATTCCAGCTATATGGCAAATAATCTGTAAATAATCGAATCTGGACCACACAATCCAGTAATCAACAGCATGAGAATCGATTTTCACAATTGGGAACCAATGACGTGTCAACCAAGTCAGCGAGCCTGACCACCGATCCCGTTAGTCGCCTCTTACAACAAGCATGGGTTACTGAAGACACATTCTAACCTGGACCTTCACAGGTCTGATCCTCCAACTGACCATGTACAGATGATGATAAAAATAAAAGAATAAACAAGCGTTGTTTTCATAAACAGACATTCTTAATGATTGCCTAAAATTGAGGTTAAGATCAAGCAAGGTTGGTTTAACATGTTTAATAAGCCAAAAGTGACACTGGTTTTAGATGTTTTAGTGGTGTTAGACAACAAACCAACCACATCTTCATACAGACCAAGTTAAGGAAAATATAGACAGAAAAAGAGTCACAAATTTGCCTACAAAATAATTAAACAAGGACAAGGGAGTCCCTCATCACTCCTGCTCTCCCATCCCCGAATCTTTTTAATGTATGTAACAGTAAAGCCTCTAAACTGTATGGTGTACATGACATACTAATTGTAAACTGGAAATTTGCCATCTTAACAAAATTTGAAGAAATCCTACAAAATTTGCAGCTAACCACACCAGAACAGCAAGAAGCCAGAGTACAGAGATTGTTGATATCGTATTACCCCACACAGCTTGGATCCTGACCCTAAACTGCATGGTAGTAAGTGGCAGACATGGCTATCACCCATATTAGCAAGGGGGGAGTCACAATTATGTACAAAGTGGCTATTGACAGGTGTATTCTTAAAATGCTTCTGATATACAGCAATCAACGTGTCTCAGCTAGCAACCTAAACGGTTTAGTGTTCTTGGCTGGGCTGGTTGGTTTATTGTTTAAAGCCGCACTCAGCAATATTCCAGCTATATGGTGGCGGTCTGTAAATAATCGAGTCTGGACCAGACAATCCAGTGATCAAAAGCATGTGCATTGATTTTGGACCCATGAAGATCCAGGAATTTTGTAGAATAGGGATCTTCATTGATTTTGGACCCATGCCAGGATAGAATAGGTCTTCAGCAACCCATGCTTGCTACAAAAGGCTACTATGCTTGTCGGTAAGAGGCGACTAATGGGATCAGGTGGTCAGGCTCGCTGACTTGGTTAACACATGGCATCGGTTCCCAATTGCTCAGATCGATGCTCATTCGTGATATAGATGAATATATCGTTTATAACTCAAGGTCAGTAAAATAAAAACTTTAAATGATATTAAGATAAAAAAATACACTTTTGTCTTACATCGTTGAAAACCCCTGACACCGGGATATATCTCAGAATGAAATATAAGTCTCAAAGAGATCTTAAACAAAGTCTATAAAAGATATTGAAACCAAAATCTGAAATAAACTTTAAAAAAAAGATTTAAAATAGATCTTGACACGAAAATATAACACATATCTTGAAACAAAAATCTTGACAAAACCAGACACAAATGATGTTAAAAAAGACGTTCAA